CGCCTGAGTGCCTTGGCTGGTGCGTGCACTGCCCCGGCGAGGATGCGGCTGTTCCGGTGGCTGCTGAAGCAGCCGGTGCCCAAGCAGATTGAGCGCTACTCTCGCTTCTCCCCGTCGCCGCTCTCCATCAAGCAGTTCCTGGACTTCGGTAAGTGCGGGGTCCCGAGCTCCCACGGTCGCCACGGTCCGGGCGTGGGGCCACTGTCTTCCGGGCCCTATGTCGCCGCAGGTCTCGCAGCCTAATTCGTGGGAACCGCGGGCGGGGCTCCGGGATGCCCGGGGGCTCTCCCAGGGGCTCGGATTTCGGGGCGCGCAGGGACAAGGCCTGGTACACCGGTCGGGGGCCTACCAGTAGACACAGAACCTCGTCCCGGGCGGAACTCCCTCCCCCCAAACCTGCATGTTTAGCTTCAGATCTACTTGACACAGACCTCCCTGCCCTTAAAACTTCCCAGCGGAATGCGGGTGGCTTTTTAAGTTTTTATTTTAGATTTATTTTTATTTTTTTGGTTGGGTAAGAGCTGTTTAGAAACACCTTGAGGTCGTATAAATTATGCAATGGCATTTTGTTCCTTTCCTGCTGTAAGACAGTGCTCGCGCGTGGCTGGAGCAGCAGGATTCGAACTGTTGTCTTCTTAGTGTCATGTTAAACAGAGGCTTGGGCTGCACACGCCTTAGGTGCTGGGGAAGAGGGGACGGTTGGGCGCCTAGCGTCCGAGCAGGGTTCAATACAACCCAGGCACCTTTGGTTGCGCCTCAACTTTTGTGTGCTACCCACCTTCTCCCTGTCGGTTGGGCTGGTGGGTAGTTTTCAGGGGTTGAGGTCGGTTGGGCTGGTGGGCAGTTTTCAGGGGTTGAGGTCGGTTGGGCTGGTGGGCAGTTTTCAGGGATTGAGGTGGGAGCCCAGAGGACCCGGCCCCCACCCTGCCTGAGGCCTAGCTGAGATGGGAATAGATTCCACCACCTTATGCTAATTGGATCGTGTTTCCCCAGAGTGGTGCCCTTTCAGCCGCTGAGCAAATACTCCTAATTGCTGAATGCGAGGGGGCTGGTTGTGAAACACCTGAAAGTAAACCCAAAGTACTAACTCAGGTATCAGAATGGAACTCGGCAGCCTGGAAGGAAAATAAAATGGAGCAGCAAAGATGTTCTAAGCTCCCAAGGGAAAAGAACCCATTATTCACATTTGTTCATTTCATAAATTTTATGTAAACGTCAAGGGATGATGTCAGGTGGACATAAAAACTAAAGTGTGGAGTAGGTAGAATACTCCGGGAAGACCCAATGTACAAAATGGGATGTCCATGCTTAAGTTGGAATAGGAAGTGAGGAATAGGGTAAAGTTGCAATAACATTCAGTTTTAAGAAACCAATTTGCCAGAGAATGATGAGGAAAATTGAAGTTCAATGAGGTGTTGACTGTTGGATCTTAAACTTCACTCCCCAAAGCTTTCCAGTAGTTTTACTCCACCATATCTGGCCACTTGTGAGAATTTTAGAGGTTTGAGGCAACTTCTGACTTCAGAGTTTAGAAAGAAAATGTCACTGTTGCTAGAAACAGCATGTTTGCCATCTTTTAATTTATGGTTTAGAGAAGATTCTGAAGGTGTCAGCCTCTTATTAGGGTAAACTGAACCAGGCTAATTCACAATAAAGAACAAAAGAAACCTCAAAACTCCCAGTTCCTCCTTCCCCCCCTCAAAGTTGAAGCGATAGCTCTAATACAGGGGTCCTCAAACTACGGCCCGCGGGCCACATGCAAATACAAATATTGTATTTGTTCCCGTTTTGTTTTTTTACTTCAAAATAAGATATGTGCAGTGTGCATAGGAATTTGTTCATAGTTTTTTTAAAAACTATAGTCCGGCCCTCCAACGGTCTGAGGGACAGTGAACTGGCCCTCTGTTTAAAAAGTTTGAGGACCCCTGCCTAATAGCTTGGTGAAATTTCACTTGATTTATTTCTATAGCAGCTAGTATCTACCCATGTTAATAGGTGTCTTGGCAAGGATGGTATTTGAGAAGAAAAATCACAGTGGGGGATAGTGCTATTGTGGAAAACCTATGGGACCAGTATCTGGAAATAAATGTTCTAATTCTTGCTCTGTCACTGGCTCAAGAGTGTGGCCTTGACTAAGTGACTGAACCTCACTGGGGTTCATTTTCCATGAATAAAATGTGTGGATTATACCAGGTAATCTCTAAAGCACAGCTCCACAACTCTGTGATTGTAATTTCAAAGGAAAAGGGATGAGCTGTTGAAAAGAAAATTACCTAATCTTTTGATGGACATTTCACATAAAGGCCTCTGACCTGTCTTGGGAGGGGTGGAGGGATACACTAATCTAGGATACTGGAAGAAGCCTAGTAATTGAAGTCTTTTCCTTATAAGGAATTTTACAGAAGAGCTATACAGAATTGTACAGTAGTGGAATTTCTTAGAAACTAAAGCTTGTTTGTAATACCCAGAGATGAATTGGGTGGCAGACAGCCTACCTTTGATGATAACAACTAGAAGAGAGTTGCCATACAAAGACCATCTCAAAGAATACCTTCTCTTAGTTCTTTTAGCTCCTGAAAGAAGCTAGAAAGTTCATAAAGCTAGTTCCATTTTGGCAAGTGATATGGGAGCTTTAGAGTTTAGAATGGGTGTGGGGGTATTTTTAAGGTGAGGAGGGAGAAATAGAGGCTTTCTGCCTGTGTATGATTACAGAAGACTTCGGGGGGAGGGCACCTCAAATGCTTCAAAAACTAGGAGGGGAGGGGCAAATGAGTCAGTCAGGTAGGGGCAAACTCCCAGGTGTATGCTGGCTCCAGAAGGGGCAGCTGATTGGCGCCAGTTCAATTTATAGAAGAAGGAAGAGGATTTCAGAGAGGAAGGAAGAGGGAGAGAGAGATAGAAACATCAATGATGAGAAACATCAATGATGAGAGAGAATCATGGATCGGCTGCCTCCTGCACACTCCCACTGGGGACCCAGCCCGAAACTTGGGCATGTGCTCTGACCAGGAATCGAATCATGACCTCCTGGGTCATAGGTCGATGCTCAACCACTGAGCCATGCCGTTCGGGCAGTTCAATGTATTTTTTAAAAACTTACGGCTCCAATGAAATAGATGCATGGGCCATGTTGACCCACACGCTGCCACTTTGTGAACTTTATGACCTTCTCCCTGGCTACTTTACAAACGGTACATAAATGTTTGACTAGAGTAACTGGACAGGGGCCAGAGAAAGGACATACACAGAATGTTATGCTTCAGTATTTGTTAGAACCATGTCAACAAGTACATTCTTGCTTCAATGGCCACTGGAACAGCTTTATTATACCAATTCCTTGTTTAAGAGTGCAGACTAGAACTGGTTATTACTTCAGAAGCAGTGCTTTTTTATTTCTTCATTAAATTTATTGGGGTGACATTGGTTGAAACCTATATGATCTTATGAAGCAGTGCTTATATTTTACAGGAGTATTTATCAGCCTCAGCACTCTTGACATTTTGGGACAGGTCACTGTCCTGGGGGTGATGTCCTGCGCACTTACTAAAGCAGCATCCCTGGCCTCTACCCACTGATGCCAGGAACAAACCCAACCCCCGAGGTGTGACAACCAGACAGGTCTCCTGAGAGTGCCACGTCCCCTGGGGGAGCAATATCACCCTCTGTTGAGGACCACCGCTGTGAAGTATTTAGATCAGTGGTCTGCATACCTGGGTCCCATCACCTCAACTTCTAATATAAATGGTCTGGGGTGGGGTGCAGGGTATTAGCATTTTTAGAAGATCCCCGGGTTCTAAAGCATAACCAGAGTTGAAAACCACTAATTAGATCAGGGGTCCTCAAACTTTTTAAACAGAGGGCCAGTTCACTGTCCCTCAGACCGTTGGAGGGCCAGACTATAGTTTTAAAAAAAACTATGAGCAAATTCCTATGCACACTGCACATATCTTATTTTGAAGTAAAAAAACAAAACGGGAACAAATACAATATTTGTATTTGCATGTGGCCCGTGGGCTGTAGTTTGAGGACCCCTGAATTAGATGATCTGGATCTACAGTGCTGTCTCCCTATCATCTGTGTGCCTTTTTTTCTCTATGCCCTTTATTTTTTTCTGTATTTTATTTTTTGAAATAGAGAGGAAGGGAGAGGGAGAGAGAGATAGAAACCTCAACGATGAGAGAGAATCACTGATGGGCTGCCTCCTGCAGGCCCCACTCTGGGGATCAAGCCCACAACCTGGGCATATCCCCTGACCGGGAATCAAACCATGACCTCCTAGTTCATAGGTTGACACCAACCACTGAGCCACACCAGCTGGGCTCTTTGCCCTTTAAAATGATAAAAGTTTCTTGAACTCAACCTTTACTTGAAATATGTCCTTCCACTCTGCAAAGTGTAGGAAGAATAGCAAGTGGTCTAAATGGATCAAGAGTTTATAATGGCAATAGTGCCTTCTAAAGGATGGGATTTTGAAAAAATGACATTTTCTTTGTGGTCTGTGATTATAGTCACATGGTTCCAAATTCAAAAGGTGCAAAAAGACATAGAGAAGTCAGTTTTCCACTTTTGGCCGCTAGCCTCCCTGTTTGTGCGCCAACAGCAGCTTATACTTTTGTCTGTAACTTGCTTTTTAAACTGAATACCGTAGAGAGCTTTCCATAGTTGTATCAGCAGATCTTTCTTCTTTTTTTATGGCTTTGGAGAATTTATTTATATGAGTGTGCTATATAATTCACTAGCCAACTCCCTGTCGATGGCTAGTAGGTTGTTTTGAATCTTTGCTATGACAACCAGTGCTATAGTGAATTACGGTCAGCATTTCGTGCATGGATGAGTGTGTATATATAGGACACATTCCTAAACATGGGATTACTACATCAAAGGGCCTGTGCAACATGAAATTTTGATAAACATTGTCAACCTGCCTTCCTTAGAGGTTGTCTGTTTTATCTTCACTAGAAGTTTGAGAGGTCCTGTTTTCCTACACATTCACCACCTTGTCAAACTTTGGGTAAGTGGAAAATGGTGTCTAGATAGCATTTTAGTTTAGCTTTTTATTATGGAAAATCTTAAACACATGCAGAAGTAGAGAGAGAATAGTATGATGCATTCCTGGGTTCATTATATTGCTATCCAGGTGCTGTTTGT